GGAGGGTGGAGTTGAAGCACAAGAAGCTATTTTGGAGCTACTCTGATGCACCTTTTGGCTAACTGGTAGAGTTTGATTTGAATTGTAAACTGTATGATCAGATTTGGGAAAGGTGATTCAAAGGGAGACAGAAAACATGTTTACAAAGGATTGATGTAGTGCCTTTGGTCACATTAAAAGACATTGTTGCATCAATTGCATGTGAAATGCTCACAAAATGCATTCATACTTAGTTTTTTTGACTTTCCCAAGGCACAAAAATATTTGTTTGCTGTTCTTTTATGAAATAGATGCCCCATTTACCCAATATAAGCCAGTTGGAGCAGATTATTGTCATGACACATGCAAGAGGCTTTTGTTGAAAGAAACACAGATTTTGTCAAGGTTTTTCGTCTTGTACTCCTCAGGATATTTATCAGAACAAAATGCAAAAGGTAACAATATTTTATACCCTAGGAGAAGAAAGTGCTGATTGTTTTGCTAGTATGATGTGGAGGTGCTGGTGTTGGATTGGGGTGGACAAGGTCAGAAAACACACAACACCAGGTTATAGCCCAACAGACTTATTTAAAAACACAAGCTTTTGGAGCCTCAGTCCTCCTTCAGGTATTAGTGACTGAGGTAGTATCAGACATAGAATTGATTTTACTTATAAATTCTGTGTCTGATACTACCTCTCTCACTAACACTTGAAGAAGGACTGAGGCTCCGAAAGCTTGTGATTTCAAATAAACCTGTTGGACTGTAACCTGGTGTCGTGTGTTTTCTGATCTTTTGCTAGTAGGCTATGATTGGTAGGGATATGGCTTTGGAGAATGTACTGACATTTAGCTGATGAGCTTTTTTCAAATTTTAAATGAAGCAGATTGCTTTAATTTCTTAAAGTACTGTCCTTGAGGCATGAACCAGAGGATAGCTGTTACCTACTTTATTAAGTTAAAACATGAGCAATGTATGCAACTTAGCAAAGTTGACCACAACCGTTCACTGGTTTATTCCTTGGGATGATGCCTTGATCATTCAAACAACACTTGTCAGTTAGCTGTCAGTCATCATCTAACTGGTGCATTCTGTATGGTAACCCCTGTACCAATCAAAGCCCACTTGCCAACATACCCAGTATTTTGTTCTCATTCAGTGTATAAGTTTTTCCACTTGCCATTTTTATTTCTTGCAAATATCCTACAAGTCTAACTTAAAAAGCTTTGCCAATATGTGTCCTTTTTCAGCGTCGTTCAAGTTCTGATGTACCAAAGGACTATCATCATAGAGGATGCCTATATTTCTAAGATGAGGCAATATTTGAAAGCATTTATTTAATAGCAAGTTTTCTTCACTTCAAATTTTATTCTCAGTGTAACACATTTCGTATAACTTTAGGCAATGCTTGTTCCAGTTTTCCATTCTTCACCCTTTTCCTTAAATCTCTTCATGGCCTTGCTGCTCTACATATCTGTAATCTCCACTAGCCCTCCAACACTCCAAGATTAAACAAAAAGCAGAATAGGCTTGACACCTTGGCTTGTCAGGTAGTATTTGTGGAGCGAGAAACAGGGTTAACGTTTTAGATCAGTGACCTTCAATCAGACCTTTTGCGGTATCTATGCTTACCTAATTCTGGCTGATGAATGCCTTTGATTTAAATCCCTTCATTTGCTAAGATGCTGAACTCTGGAACTCCCTCCTTTAACCTCTCCTCATGTCTGCCTCTTCCTCCTTTGAGACCTTCCTTAAAACACCCAACTTTGACCAAGCTTCAGACTATTTGCCCAAATATCTCCTTCTGTGGATTCTGCAAACATTTACTTTAAAGGAACCGTATAAATATAAGCTATTGGTTTTTTGTGTTAACCATTTTGTCCCACTTTCAAAATACCAGTAGCAATCATAAGGGAGCTGAATGCTAATTTCTAAACTCTGAGTCAAGGTCAGAGCCTAATGATACCGACAAACAACTTTTCCTTTGTGGGGAATTTACTGTGACAGGAACGGACTGGATTGTTCTGCTCCAATGTGCTGCAAATCACATTCTCTCTGCTTAGTTCCCAGTCGTGTTAATCACACTGTGCAATCATTGAAGCAGCAGAGAGAGAAACCAGGACAATGGAAAAACCAACATTATTTACAAACAAAAACAAATCAGGATTAGCAACTTAAACCCTTCAAAAATCTAACGATGCAGACTTACGGAGAGAGTAAAAGCGCACATTTTATGTGACTTTAGAAATGAAATATTTCTGCACACATTTGACAACATTTAATGCTGAGGTGGTTTCAGCAGGGCAGGGGCACGTTTACTTGTCCCTGAAGATGACGGGTGGGGATTATTCTTTCCCAATTAAATCCACAGTGGTAAAGCTGTGGATGGCCCCTGACCATAACTGAGGCCAGGGTCTGTCTCTGTCCTACTGCCTCTGGTATTCAAGCATTAGTAGATAGTGAGGACACCAAGAAAAGTCCTGTTGAGCTGTGGTGGGGAGCGGGAGGGGGCTGTGGACGTGTGCGCTGCAGGGGTCTGTCCCTCGTTGCCAAGCACTTTGTGCCTGATTGAGGGACTCGACAATGGGATGGGGAGCCCCACTGTGAGCCACCTCCCCCATGCTTCCTTCTGATGCCCTCCGTTACCCTCCATGTCTGCCATCTACCTATTGAGCACTGCACTCCAGGCTCCACCCTTAGGCAGCATCCGGCATTACTGGTTGCACATTGAGCTCGTCTCTGGCCCAATTAGATATTTGCATATTAAAATGACTGGATGGCGTGCACTCAGAATCCAGAAATGACCTGGCTGTTAGGTTCACACCTTGCCACCCCTATGCTACTTTCACTCATCTGGTGCCTCAGTGACCTTGGGCCTCTCGATGGCTGTGTCGCTGGCATTTACCGGTGGTCCTGGGCACACAGCCTGGAACTGTCAGCCTCTGATTGGTGTGCAGATCTCTAGTGGGTTTATTATCTATCTTCAGCCTAGAGTAATCACTAAACACAGCTGTGCTGCAAGTATTACAGTGCAGTGAGCTTGTGGTCATGTGACAAAATCTGGGATCTTATCTCATTTGAATGTTGACTTCTTAAAAGGAAATCACTCCTCAAATGATAATACAGCAGATACCCTGTAATATATTATTTTCTGTCATTGTGACTGTAAGCAGCAACTTAAAAGCAATTGTAAATGAACAAAAATGGTAGGAAATTGTCATTCCTGCTGGTAATGGTCAAAACAACAGACTTAGCGATCAAGGATAGTGAGAACTGCAGATACTGGAATCAGAGATAACACAGTGTGGAGCTGGAGGAACACAGCAGGTCAGGAAGCATAAAGGAGCAGGAAAGTTGACGTTTTGAGTCGGGGCCCTTCTTCAGAAAATGACTTAGTGATCAAAGCAGCTGACCAACAGAAAAACTTCAAAATAATGTGACAAAATTGTCTTGTTAAGATTCAAACTTGTGGATTATAGAAAATTTTGACATCACTAAGATTACTGACTGTCTCAAAGATGCTGATCATCAAAAGATTTCACTGTGTTGGGTGAAGATCATTGTATTTGTTGGATTTCTGATTCCCAATGTTGCAAAAATGACTATATTATTCTGGAGTCAGATAGTGTTGGACTTACCAGATTCAAAAAAAAAGCTGGAACAAAGATTTTGTTTTGAAAGAGTTGACAAATCAATCTCTCACTTACACTCTCAGAACACTAAATAATGCATGGACCAGAAGCAGAGCTGTGAATACCTTTCTAAGCTCACATCTGCAGTGAGGTCTCATGCTGGTAGGAGTGTGAGTTCACAGCCTATTATATAAGCTTTATGCTGACAATCTGAATCTTTTCATTGGTCTCAGCAATTTCAGAGCAGTAGCACAAGTGTAAATATAACCTCCCTGTTGAATGTCATTCTTACAAAATGCACTGTTTTATGAGGGAGATAGGAGTCTGTTTTCTCACCTTTAAGAAACTAGATACAGATCTCACCTGGAATGACAGATAACTCTGGAGCTAGATTTGCAGATACCTCTGGGGGTGAGGTTAGCTGCAGACACAGCTTGATAATTGCTTTCCTGAATGATGTGTCACTTTTCTGACTTTAGAACACACTGCAATTTTCAACATGCGTGTGGAGGAGGGGGACACTCCTTACCTTCAGTTAACTTGCCAATAAGCTCATTCATGAGTTTGTTCACTGCCTGGAGAGGGCTGAAAGGAAACTTTCCATGTGGCAAACAGGAAGACTGAAGAGTGTCTGATGTATTAGTGCAGAATGCTGTTGGGAGCACTGCACAGGAGCTGTGATGCGATACTGCACCAGAATTAAACTCTCAATGAAAAGAAAAGGTTACTGGAGCAGAGGAACTCATGGTTGTTGCTGAGGGAGAGCAAGTCATGTGCCTTGTGATGAATCATTTGGCTACTTTCCTGCACTGAGAGCAGGCTGACCTCTCTCTGCTCTTGCCTGCTCCAAGCAGCAGGATGACAGCAAGCCCAGTCATGGCTGCCATTTTCCTTTGAGCACTACACTCTAGACTCCGCCCTTAGGCAGCGTTCGGCATTACTGATTGGACATTGAGCTCACCTCTGGCCCAATTAGATGTCTGTACATTAAAATATCATGATGTCATTGAGGCAGACATGGCCTGTGCGCAGAATCCAAAAATGACCTGTGTGTTGGGTTGCTAATCCTGTATTAAACATCTAGTTTTCTGTTTTTGTCATTGAGCCTCCTATTGGAAGTAGTATTGAAAAATAATTTGTTTTGTTGAAATTTATTGTCTTGCACACAATAGTACAATTTGCAAGAATCACCATTTGAGGGGACGACTAACATTTACCCTGCGTGAGAGGAGGAAGGTGATTGGTTGCCAAGTGAACTCTGATTGGTGGAGGCATTACCATGGAGAATGCATGATAAATGTTAGTGTTCCCCTTGAATTGCTATTCCTGTAAATGGTCCTGATGCATGATAGACAAAACATTTCAACAGAGTCTTTTTTTTTTCAGCAGTACTCAAGTTCCATCGTACCAAACAACTACTGTAAGTAACTTACAGGAACAAATTACTGCAGATGCTGGAAACTGTTCTGAAATCAACAAATGCTGGAGATCACAGTGAGTTAGACAGCATCCATGGAGAGAAAGACCAAGCTAATGTTTCGAGTCTATATGAATCTTCATCTAGACTCGAAACATTAGCTTGCTTTCTCTCCATGGATGCTGTCTGACCCACTGTGATCTCCAGCATTTGTTGTTTATTGTAAGTAACATATCGTTATCAGTCAGCTAATGGGCACACACCAATTATTCACAATCACTGGCCCAATGAATGTCTATAATATAAATCTATCAATTTGTCTTACGACTCTGTCGAAAAGCAGCCTCTTTCCTGACATATTGTGTCAAGGGAAAACAAATAACAATTTTACTGAGAAAATGATCAGCATCAAGTTCCAAGCTATTAATGGACTGTTGAGCCCATTGTGTTTGTGCCATCTCTGACAGAGATAGCTAGTCATTGCCATCATCTATCCTTCTCCCATTCAAGTGCTGATCTGTCTTTGCTTTAAAAGTTACTGTTGAAGCTTTCTCCACCACTCTATGAAGCAGCACATTCCTGACAATAACCATTCACTGTATAAAAGAAACCTCACTTCCACAAACCCCCAATTTCCCCAATTCTATCAAAAATCCCCTTCATGAACTAAGTGCAGGAAAAATGTTCCAACATATTGAAATGAATGGCTGTGGAATGAATAAATATCTATAGTGACAGCACCCAGAAGTGATAGGCATAATCTGAAATTGGGCTCTATTCTTCACAGCTTCTTGACCCAATGATGAAACTGAATCAGCTTTGACATTCATCCCAATTCTTTTTTTCTCGATTTGAAGAATTCCCTCTTTTTTGGACTGGACTAAATGGTGAGATTTCAGTTGCAATTCATTGTTTAAGACCAAAAGGAATCACAGAATTTTTGTTGATAAATTCAAAGGAATTACAAAAGCCTTACTTTGTCATGCTTGCTGATTCAATCATTAAACACATGATGAGCTTCATTTATTTTTGAAACATGGCTTTGATGCAGAGAATTACTGAGGAAGGTTTCTGAGGAAGGGTCACTCAACCCAAAACATTAACTCTGATTTCTATCCACAGATGCTGCCAGATATGGTGAGCTTTTTCAGCAATTTCTGTGGTTGTTTCAGAGGAGACGATTAACCATGGCCCCTTTTGTGTTGTCAGGTGGATGTTAAAGATTCTATGTTACTACTTTAAAGAAGAGTAGGAAAGTTTTCCTGATGACCTACAGTCAATGTTTACCCCTCAGTTAGCATCACTAAAACAGATGATCTGATCAGAATCATGTTGCTGATAGTGAGAATTTGCTGTGCAAAAATTGGCTACCATGTTTTGTACGTCACAACAGTGTCTACCCTTCATTGTGAAACACAATTCATTCAAAAGTACCCCATGGTAAAGCGCTTTGGGATGTCCTACGGTCAGAAAGATTGCTATAGAAATGTAGAACAAAACCTGAAGTTTTGCTGGAAAAGCTCAGCAGGTCTGGCAGTATCTGTGAAGAAAAAAATCAGAGTTAACGTTTCAGGTCTGGTGATCCTTCCTCAGAACACCGGACCTGAAATGTTAACTGCGATTTTTTTTCTTCACAGATGCTGCCAGACATACAGAGCTTTTCCAGCAGCTTCTGTTTTTGTTCCTGATTTATAGCATCCGCAGTTCTTTCAGTTTTTATTTGTTATAGAAATGTGTCTATCTTACAAAACATGTATTTCTTTCACAGTTTATTACAACAATCTTACAGCAACTGACTGCTGCTGCCTTCAAGCTCTCATGCCTCCAGAGCAAGACAGCAACTGAATTGGAAGAAGCCCCTCTCCATCTACCCCAACCCCACCCACCAACACCACCACCACGCACCCCCCCCCTGCCCCCCACCCGCCCCGAAGACCCCCACTCCGTGAATTGAGTTATGGCTTCCTTCCACCTGTAAAGAAATCTCATTAACCTTCCTCAAGATTAGAAAGCTTACAGCATAAACAGCTGGTTGCACCCTGATTCTTGGTGTGTCTGGTCAGGATTATTGCATCCTGCTCTTAGTCTGTTGGTGGAGAACATTAGTGCTTCAAAGCTTGGTGTTTACGCACTAAGGCTGCCCTATTTACTCGCTGCTCTTTTTATGTGCACACAGCTTTTGAATGTAAGCAGCTGCAGGATAAGCTTCTGTTTTTACAATAAGTTCAAAAGCCAGAAGAAAGGGTACTTGGTGTAAACAGTTTTGGTCACAGTAACAACTGGTAACACTGTACAACTTAAAGAGGATTTCACCTTTTCCCTGATATTTAATGTTCAACTGTGCATCTGTACACACTGGGGGACAGTTGCATTTCATTTTGATATCACGTGCTTGAGAAATTTGCAGCTGCAGTACATTGCTGAAGCAATAGATGAATGAATTATGTATCTTTTTACTGGCATGGCTTGCCCTGCTCTTTCTGTGGATTTGACCCTTCATCGGTTGCACATCCTGTGCAGCAACAACGGTTGTTAACATCTTTCAATATCAGAGAAAGGAAGCAATCAGATTTGCAGACTCAATTTTGACTCGGACTGGTGGAGACATGGAGGGAAGCTCTGGCAATGAAGTAAAGATGAGTCAGCAGTGATTGTTTGAATGCCTGGGCCCTGTATTTCGGGAGTACTAACTCCTGGATCATGATACCACGGTGGACAGCAGGAGCAGAAAGTTACAAGGGAGCTGAGTGTTTTGGGACAGCGCGTCTGAATAGTGAGTGGTATTGCAGGATGGGTTGGTGGTTGAGTGGAGGTGGGTAAGGAAGACCAGGACTGAGGAGGCTCAAGGACCCCATTGCAGACTCAGAGAGAGCTCTCCGCAGTCACTAGGCCCATAAAGCATCCTCCCTAGACATCGGCAAGGTGGCTTTTTCTGGTCACTGTGCTGACTCCGTATGGTTTTACACCAGCCCTCGAACTGAAAATAGATTCATGATTTTAGAACATTCCGGAAAACTCCTACTTTCCACTCTGGTCAGGCCTCATGTACAATTCTGGAGCTTTTGATGCTATTTGTAGAATGAAGTCAGCATAGTGCTACCAAGCTGCTCTCTCATTAGAGAGAGACTACTGGTGATGCTTTAACCTGAGGGTCACCCCATCTCAGGTGAGGGGAGAGGCTGAGACAGCGGGTCCTTCACGGTAACATCAGCCAGTGTGGGAATTGAACCCATGCTGTTGGTATCACACTGTATCCAGCCAACTGAGCTAACCCACACCAGGAACATATGCTATCATGATAATATGAAAGAATTCTGTCATTCATTCCCATCATATGTACCAAATATTTCATCTACAAAAATATTTCATCTGTAAGCAGTAATGCTCCTTTAAAATAAGAGCTCCACAAATGTACTTTCTGACTCACACCTATAGAACACAATTGAAGAAATCAAGTGATACTGGATCTTTAATAGGCCAAGGTAGCTGGGGATGGCCTGAGTTAATTAGTAGTGTCTGTGCTGTGGATCTGGCACTGTACTGAAATGAGTTTGTTTAATAAGTGGAGTTTGATGCAGCGTTAACCCAGTCTGCTCTGTGATACGTTGTTTGAGACACTTTCTTTGCTTATTCCCTTACAGCTGCTGACCAGTTCTGCTAACTGAGCTTTGGTTTTGTTTGTTAATTAAATTTGATATTTTTAAACATGGGAGGCTAACACCAGGAATGATACTATCACTGCTTACCTGTAACAAAGGAAGAAGGAGTTTTAATTGATGCAATGATGTGGAATAGTGTTCTACACATTTTCCAAGCAATCTGCTCATCAGTTCACAGCTCTAGAGCATGTGGGCCTTGAACCTCAGCTCCCTGGTTCAGAGCTAGAGACACTAGAACTCTTGGAATTGTGTCCCATTAAGGGTGTTTAAAGTCTAATTTAGAAATACCATGTAGAAAATTTTATATAGTCATTAATTCTGCACAGCAATACTGGAGGGAAGAATTGACAGGCATGATTTCCTGTCTATATATGAAAGCAAAAAAATTGAAATTTGTAAAAAGATAAGAACATTGCAGTGACAATTTGGACAGAAATAAGAACAAGAACAACAACCCCCATGGTCACCATAATTAGTCAGTTATAATGACGAGATAGTGACAGGAACACTGCTGCTTCACTGCGTATGCTTCCCTTCTTGGTGACAAAGGGAAAGGAAAGAAACAAAATGAGCCAGCATTGGATGGGAATGTTAGTGATCCCTTAGTCTCTGGATTTAATGTGACCACAGGAAGATAATGTAGTGATTTTAGACTTCCATAAGGAAGGATTAGCATCCATTATTTATTCTGTTTCTGTTTTGCTCATGTCAACATCACACGCTAGCAACAGTATTCTGCCAACATCTATACTATTAGGGCCAGACCTGACATTCTGATGAAGAAAAACATGTAAATGGAAATAGTATAGAGATGAAGCTGTGACTATTTTCTTTGGCAGCTTGTTCCCTTGTGGGATTGTGCTGGAAAGAAAGGTGGTTGACACACCGTGTTGGAAATTGGGGTGCTTTGTAGCTTGTGAGAATGGCTACCTTGTGTTTTGTCATTACCGGAGAGCACTAGGGACTTGATTCTGTCCATTCCCACCAATCCACTCTCTTTTTTTTATAGAACACAGTCAACTTGCTTCTCCCATGCTTTGTGGGAGGGATTCCCATTTCACATCTTTGATCGAGAATGTGATAATGGTACATCTCCTACATTGATTCAATGCAGCAAATCTTTGGATCATTTCAATTTTATTTAAAGTTCTCACTGTACAAGGATTCCACACACAACCTGCATGCTCCAACATTATGCAAACTAATGTCGTGTAAGCTATAACTCGGATATTTTTGCTGCAATCCGAAAAATTCCTCAGCAGGAATCTGAGAACCCTGTTTGCTTTGGATATTCTTTTGCCAAGTGTTGAACCCTCCTTGGAGACTGACTTTAAGATGACTCCA